GATTTTATTACATATTTCCAACACTCGTTACCACCTGTATTTATTAATTTACGTCTTATCTTCAACCTGTCCCCATGTATACAGGTTCATTTTCATAATTACACTTACACATGCACAATTTTCACAAATATGCAACCCAATTAAGTCAATATATAACCACCTCATTTTAATTCTTAGTTAAACTGTTGCTTATTAGGGAGGGCCATATGTATTTATTTAAATTCTGTCTTCAACGAGTCGGAGGCATTAATCACCACATTTCCACCCAGATCCACAAAAATCGTATACATTGTGCATGGAAAAGTTTATTCCAGTTTTGTGGATTCGATGAGCAGGTTTTTGCCAAAATTATTGAACAAGGAAAGGTGATGGTGTTTCCTAGAGGTCTAGTGCATTTCCAGATGAAGGAAAATCTTCTGCAACAATTGGAATTTTAACAACCAAAATCTTGGAACATACAAAATTCCAAATATTATTTTTGGTTCTGGAATCAATGATGAGCTTCTTTTGGATTAAGACTTGAGCAAATTTCAGTTATGAGAAGGAAACTAATCTCAAGAAACAAAGCAAATATTGATTTTGAAGGTTAAATTCTTGGGGACAGCTTAGTATGTTTTCTTGTAGTTTTATGCATTCTTTAGTTGCTGAAATTTTCTATACCTAATGGCTAGAGGCAATAAGTTATGATCTATGTTTGCCACCTGCTCTTGCCATTAGAAATGGTAAAGTACTCTGTTTTGTAAGAGAACATCTAGAACTATGATCAATCGAGTTCTCCAACTGACACCTTCCAATCTTCTACACTTAAATTTTTAAAAGAAATAATTTTGTTCAGAAGGGTGATACAAACATGGCCTAAGAGCATTGTTACGCCTCATGATGTAGGGTTCCAGAAATCCTACATGGGAAGCAAGCATATGGTCCCACACCTTATGTAAAACTGCCACGAAGGCAGTTTGACCAAACCCGTGGACATGTCGAGCCGATGTACGAAGGCCAAACCTATTGAATTGTGTCGACTCCCGTGATAAGAATCGACTTGTATCGCAGGGGAACCAATAAAGGAGCTTGACACAAAATCTTCTTTGCAATTCATAGTACGTAATTGATGTGACAACCCACTACTGCCATGGCCGTTCTCAAATACACAGGTCAAGTCCAAAGTCGCAAACTAGGAATTATAGATAATAAAACGGCACTAGCATTTAATGCACATGATTGATTGATGGCAATGACAAGAGGTTCCAGCGTCAAGATGAGGCCATGTGTCCCCTCATCTAACGATTCTTAATCATCATCTTCTACTATAAAAACTCACAGTTAATGTCATTTCGAAGTAATGTAAGCTTAAACTCTTAACTTACTACTTTGCTCATTTATTATTCTCGATATTTACCCCAAGGCCGACCCTCTTTTTATATTGGAGGCTTGCATTTAAAACTGTCCCACACTCATATATTGATTTCCCCAATGGACTTGACCGTCGAAATGCGCGCAACCAACTCCACCACCACTAGAGGAAGCCACGTGTGATTAACATGTTTGTCCAAGTGTGCAGGAATTTGGCTTGTGTGTACGGAAAGACATTGGGATTTGTTGGCCAAATTGGAGGTACAAAATTTGAGATCAACAAACATGTTTATCTAAGATTTTAATCTACTTATTTACTATTTTGTTGCATTTACTACAAAACACGCTTTCTCAACTAAGACTCATTGCGAACTTTACTCTCACACCGATCAATTTTAGAAAGTCCTTTAGTTATGCTTAATTTGCTCGACATTGCTTTCAAGATATCAAAATTAAGATGACCAAATTGGTCAGTTTACAACTTTTAGAATATGCATATATCATCTAAACTATAAAAAAGAGAAAAAAAGAGTTCCAACTAACTATTAATAATTTTTAGTCCTGACAGAAATATTTTTGCATGAACAAATGTCTAAACTTTCTTTCCATGTGCTACTAATATCCAATGTTATAAAAATCGGACCGGACCGGCCGGGTCAACCGAACAAACCATGAACCGGCCTCCAATCCGGTTCGGTACTTACGCATTAGCCAAAAAAAAAAAAACCGACTAATAAACCATCAACCTGACCAGTTTAATCGTGAACCAAATAACCTACCACGATTTTTCCAATTAATATGGTTAATATAATTTTTTTAAAATAACATTTTTTTACCACCTATTGCAATAGAAGACAAAAATAACTTTTTTATACAAGTGGTATTCTTTTAGCTCTTTTTTAAAGAAGATTCTTCTTTCAATATTTTAGTAATCTTCCAACGTGGAATATTAGCTCCTTTTTATAGGAGACTCTTCTTCCAATGTGGGATACTAGTCAATTGGCTAATTCTAAGTGCTTAATAGTGTACGTCATCATTTTCATTAAAAAATCATAATCCCCAACAATATTATAATCACAAACAATTTTAATTTGAACAAAATAAATTATTTTAGACATATTAATTGTTAGTTTTTGAG